TCCGCGCATATTTCCTACACAAAAACTAAGAATGAATGTTTTAGCTGTCGTTATTTTTATTCCATACTAGAAGTTTATCTCTACCCATGCATAAAGGGAAGCTTGTTTGCTTGCATAAAGGGAAGCTTGTTTGCTTGCATAAAGGGAAGCTTGTTTGCTTGCATAAAGAGAAATTTGTGTGTTTATTTGAGTAAAGAGAAGCACTTTGCCACAATAATGGTCATTTAGTACAAGGGAAAAATCAGGACAGACAGATTACAGAAAAGGGAGAATAGATGAGTAGGATCTTCCAGTGACACCCTCGGGTGAAGAGAGGCACACCAATTCAACGAGCCCATTAAGTGCAGGGGATGAGTAAGTCAAAGAGACAGCAGCAACATAAGGGGAGTTTGAGGTGTTCACAACGCTACAGTGCTCAACACAAGCACATCAGTGAAATATCAGTCAATGTCAGAGCTTTCGTTAGGTTTTGTTCGTTTTAGTAAGGTTTTACGGCGCTCGCAACACAACATACCTGCCCACCCCTCTCTGTGGCTATCAGGGACAGCCTTGCTCAAAATCAGGGACATTGACTAATTATCAGGGACACCTTACGCATAGTCGTTATACCTTAATACTGCACACCTGCCAACTCTCCCGCATTTTTCAGGAATCTCACGAATTTTTGTCGTTTTCCAGAGCAACAGAAATCTTGTTCAATTTCCCGAAATTCACACACAACAAAAAATAATTATAAAGTCAATGTCGTCATAATGCGAAACTGGGCTGCCACGCAGGCCCTAGGCCTGAACCCTTGCACTAGAATTTTTTAGTGTAAATAGGAGAGTAAACCCTATGAGAGTTAGAGGAAGATATCTTAATATTATTATTACTATTATTATATTAACGACTCATTCAGCGTCATAGCATGCCCGTGACGGGATTAACTGTCTTCGAACTCACGGGCCACACTTAATTTCCCCTTGAGTCGATCTCTCTTCAAAATTCCCAATTTTTGATTTTCAAAAGTTGGCAGGTCTGAAACTGGTTTGCAACTGTCGTCTGCAAGCGCCGAGGAAAGCTGTTCTGTTGCTCAGTAAAGTTAACGAAGTCCGTCCGTTAACCGTCGTAAATCTAGACCTAGCTAGATCTAAATCTAGATCTAGAATCTAGGCCTAGATCTAGATAGCCTATCTAGGCCTAGATCTAGATAGCCTATCTAGGCCTAGATCTAGATAGCCTATCTAGGCTAGTCTGCGTGAAAGCAGGTGCGACAAAACTAGATTGTGCTAGTCCCCTCTCGCTCTCTCATTAGGCCTAGGCCTAGTGCAAGTGATGTGTGTGGAGAAAGCATCACGCAATGGTGAAGGTGGAGGTGTGTGTGTAGGCCTAGGCCTAGTGCAATGATGTGTGTGGTGAAGGCATCGTGCGATGGTGAAGGTGGAGGTGTGTGTGTAGGCCTAGGCCTAGTGCAATGATGTGTGTGGTGAAGACATCGCGCGATGGTGAAGGTGGAGGTGTGTGTGTAGGCCTAGGCCTAGTGCAATGA